AGCAGAGCTCCAGACAATGGCCAGGAACACACATGCCATTACTGTCTGGGGCTTTGGCACTGTTACTGTCAGTCCCCATTCAGTATATTTCATTTCTCTTTGGAAGCACTGATCACAATCATAACTCCACCATTATCTGTAACAATCATTCACTTAATGTCTGTTTCCACACTAGACTCCTTGAGGACAGGAAGCACGACTTCTGGTTCACCATGAACACCCCAGTTCCTTCCAAGGTGCCTGGCTCATAGACGCTCAATGAGTGAGCTGACTAAGCGGAGGAAATAATAGTAATCAATAACAACAAAATTTTTTTTCCAAAACACTTTGCAGTAAATAAAACACCTTTAAGTATATTGTATCATTTGATCCCCATAACAAACTGGGTGGTAAAGGTCTTATGTGCTGGAGAGGGCTTGCATCGGCTTACTGAGTCAGTTGTAAAACATTCGGGAATTTTTTGCAAGGCAGTTGTTAAACCATTGGTTATTTGAAATTGGACATAGTGGGGATATTTACACCCTGGAGATTGACAAAGACTACAAATAAGAGCTCTTCTTTTACAAAGAGCACGTTTGTCAGAAAGTCACTGGCAGTGGGTATATTAAAAAATACTCTGTGAATAGATAAAGAAGATATGGTGTGTGTGTATATATATATATATATATATATATATACAATGGAATACTACTCAGCCATAAAAAAGACAAAATTGTCCCATTCACAACAACATGGATGGACCTTGAGGGTATTATGTTAAGCGAAATAAGTCAGACAGAGAAAGACAAACACCATATGATTTCACTCATATGTGAAAGATAAACAAAAACATGGACGAAGAGAACAGATTAGTGGTTACCAGAGGGGAAAGGGGTTGAGACTGAGCACAGAGGTAAAGGGGAACATTTATAAAGTGACTGACAAATAATAAAGTACAACTGAAATTTCACAATGTTATAAACTATTGTGACCTCAATAAAAAAACCCGAAAAAATAAATAAATAAAAGAAATACAACACAGAAACTTGGATAATAAAAAAAAATATTCCATGAATAGGTACATAAGGATCACTTTAAATATGGTGCCGTTGAGTTTGAGGAAGATTGAGTGAGACCCTCAAAATCTCTGAGCCTTGCTGGAGTGAGATGCTGACGCCAAATGCATTTACTCATTTCAGCAGGTATTTTTGACTGCCAACTATATGCCAGGAGCCACCGGCCATGGCAAAATGTGACTGGCAAATTAGTGGTTCATTAAGACCAAGCAGCTCCTCTCAAACAGCAGTGCTGGGGCTTGCCCCAGGAGGCCCAGCCATGCTCAGGCCCCAGAACCATGACTGGATCAGCAGCTGATGCTCCACCATGATGTAGGGTCCAGAACTGTCCTGCTGCAACAGACCCAGCATCTGGTGTGTGGGGATGGTCCTCTGTGTTTACCCCTTGCCCAGCGCTCCTTCCACACAACATGCAGCTCCTCTGCCTGAGGCAGCCTCACTCAGTTTGTGGAAAGAACAGGAGCCAAATCTGGTCCTCAGCTCACTGCCAAGGCCCCCTCTGGCAGGGCTGGTTCATGCTCCTTGCACACTCTTACAAAGCTATTGGGTCACACTGAATGGTGAAGGAGCAGAGGCCTCAATGGGAACCACAGGGACACTGCCCCAACTGCCTGGGTCCAGCTATGGGTTAAACTGTGTCCCCCTAAGTTCATATGTTGAAGTCCTAACCCCCAGCACCTCAGAATGTGACCTTATTGGGTAATAGGGTCCTTGCAGATGTAATTAGTTAAGTTAGGATGGAGTCATACTGGAGTACAATGGCATCTAATCTGACATGACCAGTGTCCTTATAAAAAGGGAAAATTTGGATACAAACACACACACAGGAAGAACGCCATGTGAAGTTGAAGGCAGAGATCAAGATGATACTTCTACAAGCCAAGGAACGCCAAAGATGGCCAGAAACCACCAAAAGCTAGAGGAAAGTCATGGGACAGATCCCTCCCTCACAGCCCTTGAAGGAACCAGCCCTGCTGACACCTTGACCTTGGACTTCTAGCCTCCACAACTATGAGATCATGAATTTTGTTGTTTAAGCCACTCAGTTTGTGGCACTTTGGTATACCAGCCATAGCGAATTAAAACAGGTCCCTTACTTTGCAAATATTCAAACTGGGCAGCACTACATTAGAGCTTGGGTGACTAACAGTGACATTACAGGCAAACAAGGTTAGAGGCACATGCTGGAGCCAGGTGTAGTATCTAATAGAAAATGCACTGGGCTTCATGTCAGGTCAAAAGGACCCTGAATGAGTGCTCAGGGCTGTTCCATTCTGAGCGGCACCCTCCAGTTCTGTGGGACCCACTCAGGTGACCACAGACACTGCTTGGAATCATGAGGCTCAGGGACAGGACATCAGCAAATTGCTTCATCACCAGATCACTAGCCTCAAGCCTGCACATATGATCACACTCCAGGAGCTGGAAGACCCATGAGGAAGGTGCCACCATGAGAGAGTGGTGGAGGAGCTTGGAGGGAGACAGATGGCCCCTGGAATCTGCCACTGGGACTTTATGCCACCCCGATGGTGGTGGGATTCCCAGAACAGTATTTTCCTCTATTAAAAGGAATAGTGTTTTAAGCAAACCCACGAAGAGGGAAATTTGATACATGTAGTTGGGAAAGGGATGGGTCAAATACTGATGCCTGGCCTTAGATCCTTGATCCAAAGTCCTCATGGGCACTGCACAGATTTAGATAGAGCTTGCCTTTAATCAACCCTGGATGCTCCAAGGGTAATGCCAGGCACAGAGTAGACACTAACCGAAGACAGGTTTCCTTCTCTTTCCCTTTTCTCTTCAGTTACCAAGCATCCTTCTTGCCTGATGTAGTACCGAGAGAGGATAACTCCCTGACTGTGGCAGACTGGAATTCTGCATTATCCAGCTCTCTGACCCATTCCCAAGTGCTACCAGAGCCCTGATTCTCTGGGACAGCCCTCACTGAGCGGAAAAACAAGGGTGTGGATGCTTGGAATCCACGTCTGCCTCTGACTCCTCCGAGCCCTGCCTGGGTTTGGCTAGCTGAGCATTCATCTTCATCCATGAGTTCCTGTCCTTTCATACACCCTGCATGTGCACACACTCCGCTAAAGGAAGACTGTAACCTAATGGTCAAAAGAGGAGAAATCCTTATGCTAAGGAGAGGGAGAGAGCTCTTCTGCTCTAGTTCTTTAAAGACCACTGCAATTCTCCTGCAGATCAGCAACTCTGGAGAAGCGCGACATGGTGGGCTTCTATGTCTACAAGGACAGCGTGTCTTGAAATCACCAGGAAAGTACGGTTTTAAATATTCTCTCTTGAAGTCCCCACATGTACCTATTGCCTGTCTAGTCACATGTTCCCAACCCTTAGTTCACAAACTACTCTTTAGGGGGCTTTATGTCCTAGAGGGTGTCCTTAGCCTCCCACATACCTCAAGGAGGGCAGAGATATCACGTCAACCCTTCCCTGGTCTAGAGGTCAGGAGCTATAGGGGAGCCAAGCAGCCCCATCATGGAGAAGCTTTCTCCGTAAGTTCCCTTCCCCTCTGGCTGCCTGTTTAAGCAGGATGCTGCAGACACCCAGCTGTCCCGCTCGCAGTCCAGAGCACTATCCAATTGATGATGTTCTTCCTTCTAGATTATCTGTTTTCTTCAGTGGCAATGTCTGCCAAGGCCTGTGATTTGTATCACTTTTGTTTGCGGGCCATTAATTCTCCTTGTCTCACAAAGAGTATTTTATCTCTTTCTGTCCAGCAGCTTGAGTTTCTGAGAGGGGGCAAGTTAGGGACGTGCCAGCCTCTCATGACTTATGTGAAATCAGGGTGAGTTCTTATCACAGTTAGCCCTTAGTGCTTCTGTCTTCTCCTTCCTCCTGCATCTTCCCTATTCTGCCTGCATATGGATCTGATTTTCTTCAAAGTTATAAGAGCCATGCGTGACAGGTCTTGGTGCATGTTTTGTCAAATAGCTTTAGATCTCTCTCTCTACGTGTTTTCTCCTCCTCCCACCTGTGTGTTTTCCTCTGTATTTGTGTGCATGTGTGTATATATTCACATATGTATATACATACTTGGGTCATCGCGTTTGTTTATAGTTTATACATCTGATTATATGCCTACTTATATTTACAATTGTGATCTCCATGGAAGCAACCTATGAAACTATATATGCTATCAGTAAATTCAGGGAACAGACTAGAATTGCCCGATTTTGGTATGTTTATATGATGAGGATAGTTGTTAAAAATATCAATTCTATAACAAAAAGATAAACCTGATTTCTAACTATTCAACCTTGTAATAGGGTAAATGATAACAAACCATTCATTGATTTTTTTTTAAAGAGTAATAAACAGAAACATGTACCAATTGAAAGAGCCAGGAAATTCAATTATAATTAGGAAAACAAAAAGTGATGAGCCTGAACAATGCTGCCTTAGTTTTTGGGATAAGTGTTGAAAATGCCAACTACAAAACAATGCAGTGTTTGTTTTCTCATTATTGAAGACACCAAAACTAATCACCTCATTTTTGAAAGCTATGCATCAATTGAATAAAGCACAAAACCCAGAAGACAGATCTGATAGACAGGCTTTAAAAAATACCCACATAAACACAGACCTAAATGCAATGAAAATATATAGTAGAAGAATATTCGAGTACATTCATATTCACCACTCCATCTATTAATGCACCAGTTCATGTGTCTATCAATCCATCCATCCATCCATCTATTGATTGAACAAAAACGTTTTGAATCTTACTAAGCTTTCATAGTGTTAGTTATTAATGTATACCCTAGGTATATATTAATCCCTAGATGCAAATGACTGTAATATAAATTACAATTTTTTCTTATTGTCTTTAGTCATCACTGCCTAAATTTTCCCTTTGCAACTAGAGGGAGAAATACTTAAATAGTTGAAGAATGGCTGAAGACAGACAAGGACATGCCAACATACCTTTCGTAGCCAGACGAACACAGTTGATTTTGGTCTCCTGTGAACAAAAAAGTGATGCTCCAGTTAATTAGCTGTGGGTTTGGTTTGTTATATACATAAAAATTATACACATATATTTGTATATATATCCATGCATATATATTTTTAATTATAATTTTAAATTTGTCCTTTCCATTTTTCCCCTCAGTGGAATCACCTTCTAATTCTATTTCTTCATTTCTCTTCAGGTTAGATGGATAATTTTTTCCTTTCACTTCCTGGCTCCCATCACCTCATAAGCTTCTTCCTCAGATGGAACCATTTCCTGAACATATCAGATACTGCCCAGCACAGAACAACTTTAAGACTAACACTAAGTGGGTACTCTGTGGCATGCAGTGTGCTTCCTTCAGTTGCATAGGTTAGTAGATGTAGATGGTACCATAGGCATCCTTGGGAAACTTTGTTATAAACAAATAAAGCCTCTATATGCACAGACTGAAACAGATGCTTGGCAATAGCCCAGTCAATACGAATGTCTAAGAATCAAACTGCAATGTTCATGTTCAAAAAGTCACTTTGGTCCTGAGATCTCTGGTGGTCCTCATGGTTTTCATGGATAACATTGTGTGTGTGTTTGTGTGGCAATAGAATCTTTGCTGGGTGAACTATCCAGTTATTGTTCGCTGTTCCTCAAGCGGACAGAATCCATGAATTTGTGATGTTGCTGGGCATGCAATAGAGTTACAGAAGAGTGAGCTTAGGAAGAGAATCAGCCTATTTCATCGGGATTGTCTCCCCGGAGATTCCTGGAACCGGTTGAAAATTCCAGTTGACTAAGTTATACCCTCAGCAACGTCTGAATGTAGTGTCGGAATGACAATAAAAGGCAAAGAATGCAAGTGTGTGAGTCCCAAGAATCTGATGTTTGTCTCGCTAATGCTCACTCATAAGGAACCACCGCATCTTGAAGGCACTTGTGTTAGTCAGGACAGAAAAGGTTATGCAGGAGTAATAAAACCCATGAACTTCAGTGACTAAAAACAGCAAAGGCTTACTTTCCACTCAGCCACATATCTAATGTAGGTGTGTGGCTGGGTCTGAGGGGGTTGTGTGGTGGTTTCGGAGATTCTCTACTCATTGTAGTCACTCAGAGACACAAGGCTGGAACCTCCACTTTAACACAAGGCTTCAGTGTTCATTTGAAGAGTCCAACATTCGTAACTAAATGATTTGAATCAGAAGTGACACTTCACTTCTACTCAGGTTTCATTGGCTAGAGCCCGTCATAGGCCTCGCCTAACTTTAGTGATGTGAGGAAATGAAGGCCTCTCTGCACCTAGAAGTGGAGAAGAAATGGTAATGTCCACAGCAGAGTCTATTTCATCTATGTACATCTCTGAAAGCTGGAAATTGTCACTTCTATTAAACCAAGTAAGACTCCCTGTAATTAACCCCAGTGGTCTTGATTCTATTCCTCAGACTACAGACAGTCTGTCGCTGTTTGTATAGGAAAGATGTCTGGATATTGAAAGATGGTTTTCAGGTTCATTAACATTCTTCTTCTTCAGCTCCTCAAGAGTCCAAGCCCTTTGAACCATCCTATTCATCCTGGGACATCCTCCAGTTTGTCCCTCTTAATGAGAAGGGACTAGAACAGGAAGCAACAGTCTACATGTTGTCTGTCAGTATATGATTACCTAGATTATCACTATTTTCTATTTGCCTGACTTACACTGGGCTTCTATTAACAGAACCAACATACAGTTTTTCATTAATCACAACAGATGTGCCATCAACTTTCTCCACCAAAAAAATACCTGCCATAAGCTTGATTCTACATACATAAATGTGACTGCATTTCTGGAATGCATGTACAGAGTCACATTTACCACTTTTGAGTTCCATCTTCTTTGACGGATTCAATTACTACAGCCTATCATCATATTCTCCACCATCTGCAAGCTTTTGGACATAATTTTTCTCTAACTTCATCCAGATCATTAATATAAGTAATGACCTGGAAAATGCCAATAGTAGAGCTCTGTGGCACCTACTAGAATCTGTCTTCCAGACTGGCATTCATCTGTTCATTAGAATCTTTGGTTGGTTATCTAACTAGTCACTCATCTCGTCAATTGCTTATGCACTCAGATCCTACTGCTGTATTTTTCCACCAAAATAGCTTAAGAATAGGGTCAAATTCACTTCAGATACTGATACTCTTTCTACTGCATTTTCCCAACCTATCAGCCCAAGAACTCTCTTGAAGAGAGAAGGTTGGGTTGACATGACTTTTCTTTGGAACAAGTGTCTCTTATTCTTTACTATTTTTTTTAATGCTGAAAGTTTTTTTAGAATAAATAATTGTTTTATTTTATAAAATGGAAAATGCAGGAATGTTAAAAGAATACAACACATCATGGTTCAAATATATGAAGTATTCATTTGAGGTAATCATATGAAATTTGAAGTGTGCTATATTTCAAGAAAGATTTGCATGTTACTAAGCATTTAAAAATAAATCTTGAAGGAAATATACGGAACCTTAAAAATTATTACACAGTTAATTTGAAGTATAACATACCTGCAGACAAGTATACTAATCTTAAATACTGCTTGCTGAGTTTTTCGCAAAGTAAACACACATCTATGACCAGCACTCAGATCAAAACAACCAACATTACCAGCACCTCAGAAGTTTCCTTCATGCTCCCTCTCTGTCACTTCCTCCCCATAAAGGTGAATGCCAACCTGCGTTTTGCAGGAACGTTCTCTTTAAAATGTGTCCCATTAAAGGGAATCCCAGGTAGCCACATGTTTATTTTATTGCCTTGTCTTTCTCATTGGGTCATTTGTGAGAATTTTCTAATTCTCCTCAGAATCATCTTCCCTTCCACAGTTGCATGCATGACTGTGAGCCATTTCCTAACCTCACCTCCTCCACCTCGCATCTCTTAAAATCTGTTTTCTATAATCCAGAGTGCATGTCCGACTATGCTTAACTCTCCCTGACCCTCACAAACATGACACTGACATATCCACTTTTGCCCAAGTTCCTGATGCCTTTAATTCCATAACCAATTTGTCTTTGTTGGTTTGAATTAGGTACAGAATAACAAAGTCCTGAGTCACTTTCTTGACCTTCTGGGTGGTTGAACTGCTGGCAAGAAAGTCAGGAACATGATAGAAATTCTGCATCCTATCATATGGGAAGTCTGGCCAGTACACATATACCCAAAGTCCCCCAATCAGTCCAGTAAACAGGAAACGGATACTTTCTTTGTGCCAAGATTGTATACGGCTTTGGAAAAAGGAAAAACATTTATTGCATTTTCTGTTCTATCTCCACAGTACAATACAATGTCACTTCTCCATCATTTTAACCTCACTCACATCCCACTTGCCACTCCAGACTTGCAAATCTGCACACAGATATACATCATCTTGGGTCAAATATACTGTCCTGTTGTGCTTCTGTTGAGACATGCTTCTACTCAAGGCTCTGCCAGTGCTGTGTAATATTAACTGGCTGTGCAATATTAACAAGTCACTGAACCTCTCTGTGGTTCAATTTCCCCATGACTCAAATGACAGAGAAAGGGGTGGAGAAGGCTACTTTGGTAGGGTAGGCAGGAGATTCTAAGGTTGCTTCAAGTTCTCAAATGCTGAGTCTGGTTTCAGCTACTGGCAGTACTCCTGCTTTCTCAGTACACTGTCTTCTTAACAGCATTCCCCATCACCTCAGCCCAACAACAAATAGCTTTTTTTCAGTAAGCTATCACCTACTTTATTTCCCAGAATGCCTCACGCCTACTTCGTTATCTTCTTATAACCTCCATTTGAGACTAGGCCAAGTCTGACTCATTCAGCCATCTATCCATTTATCCATCCATCCATCCACCATCCATCCATCCTTCAACTATTTACTGAAATTATAGGCTATCTCTCTAATTGAAGGGCTTACAGTGTGGTGTCCAAGGCATCAAGTATTTCCGTAGCTTCTGTTTATTATCCATAAGGACTTAGGTTAAATTGTACTGCCAACCTGATCAAAAAGCCCTAGGTACCTGGATAACACATACAATTCTTACTCTGCTGCCCCATTAGACTCCCTTATTCAGTAGGATGGGGATTTAGCCCTGACCTCACAGTTTTCAAATAGTTTTCCCAGTTACCCTAACTCATGCCTTTGTCTTCTCTAAGACTGAGCTGCCCCACTTAATATGATGTGATTTAGCCCTGACTCCAGTCTTTCCATAGTTTTCCCAGTTGCTTTGACTTGTGTCTTAATTTTCCTCTAAGACTGGGCTGGGACCTCCATTTATCTCTTTATTAATTTGGTCAGCCAATCAACAAATATTTATTGATATGATCATTACTGATTATTGATCATTATTGAACGATCACCGTGGGCCAGGCATTGTGCTGGATACTGGTGTTACAAGAATGAGAAAAATAGACGTGGTCCCTGTCCTCAAGGAGCATGCAAACATTATTTTTCTAATATTTGTGACAAATATTATATAACTATTCTCACAAGTAAATGTATGATTACAAGTTGGAGTAAACACTATGAGGAAGAAGAGCTAGGCGCTACATACATGTAAGGAAGAGGACACGGGATGTGGGTGGGAAGGAGGGTGCTTTACTGCCTTGAGCAAGGACCATTTAACCTGAGACCTGGAAGATAAATAGGAGTTAGATATATGAAGTATCAAGGAAGGGTGTCTCAGACTCAGGAACAGATGCGCAAAGGTCTGAAAGTAGGAAAATGTATGGTGCAGTCGAAGACATAGAGAAGTCTGGTATGGTTACAACATAATGAAGTACACGGAGAATGATATGAGGTGAAGCTAGAGACATATGTCTGGTTGAACCTTTTAGACTGTAGAGTTTTGGTCTATATTTTAAGAACAATAGGAAGCCAACGAAGAGCTATGAGCAGGAAGAATAAAAATTTCAGACTTAACATTTTTTAAAATGTAGAGGCTGCTGTATAGAGAATAAACTTATGGTGCAAGAGAAATTAGTTGGCGGGAAGAGTGTGGTGATATA